CTCAAAAATATTAAAAATAGAACTACCTCATGACTCACAATTCCACTCCTGGGTATTTATCCAAAGAAATCTATATCACTAATTCAAAAAAACATATGCATCCCTGTGTTTAATGCAGCACTATTCACAACAGCCAAGATATGGAAACAACCTAAATGCCCATCAATAGATGATTGGATGAAGAAATTGTACATTTATACAACAGAGTGTTACTCAGCCATATAAAAGATTGAAATCTTACCACTTGCAACAACATGGATGGACCTAGAGGGTATTATGCTAAGTGAAATAAGTCAGACTGAGAAAGGCAGATACCATATGATCTCACTTATATGTGAAATCTAAACAAGAGAATAAAGAAGCAAACAAAACAGAAATACTCATAGATACAGAGGAAAAACTGATGGTTGCTAGATGAGAGGGGGGTTGGGGATAGGGGAGAAGGTGAAGGGATTAGGAAGTACAAACTGGTAGTCACAATATTGTCATGGGGACATGAAATACAGTATGGGGAATATAATCAATAATGTTGTAAAGACTATGTAGGGTGTCAGATGCATACTAGACTTATCAGGGGGATCAATTCATAGATTATATAAATACCTAACCACTGCACAGTACACCTGAAACTAGTATAAAATAAGACTGTCAACTTGTAAAGTACAGCATAGGAATATAGTCAGTGGTATTGTAATAGGCACGTACGATGTCAGAGAAGTAGTAGGCTGATTGGATTATCACTTTGTAAGGGGTGTGACTGTCTAATCATCATGTTGTTTTGTATACCTGACACTAATAAAAAAATTAAATTATATAAAAAATTTAAAAATAAGAATTTTTATAGGTAGTGCTTTTTGTATATAAGACTGAATGCTTTTCCCGAGAGTGGGAACAAAACATAAATGTATGTTTACCACCTCTATCATAACATCAGATCTGAGATCCTGGCCAGTTCAATAAGGGAAAGAAAGAAAAAAGAGGAGAGAGGAGAGGAAGAAGAAGGAGTCTTGGTTCCTCACCACACGAGTTTCTCCACAGGGCTGCTCACAACAGGGCATCATTTTGTTTTTTGCTTTTTAATTTCCTTCTTTCCACCAATGGCTTTTTTAGGTGTACAATTCAGTGGTTTTTAGCATATTCAGAGTTGTGCCACCATAGACATTTTATCATTGTAAAAAGAAATCCATTATTCATTAGCAGTCAATTCCCCATGTTCCCTCACCCCAATCCCAGCTCTAGGCAAACACCAATCTATTTTCACCAATCTATTTTCTGATTCTACAAATGTGTGTATTCTGGACATTTCATATAAGTGTGATCATACAAATGTGGCCTTTGTGACTGGCTTTTATTACTTAGCATAATGTTTTCAAGGTTCATCTAAGTTTCAGTATGAATCTGTACTTCATTCTTTTTTATGGCTGAATAATATTTCAGTATATGGATAAACCACATTTTATCCACTCATCAACTGATATACATTTGACTTTTTTCTACTTTTTAGCTATTATGAATACTGCCACTATGAATATCTATGTACAAGTTTTGGGGTGGATATATGTTTTCATTTTTCTTTGGATATATATCTAGGAGTGAAATTGCTGTGTCATTTGGTATTCCCATGTTTAGCTGTTGAAAGAACTGCCAGGCTGTTTCTCAAAGTAGTTGTACCACATAACATTCCCACCAACAGTGTATGAAGATTCTAATTTCTCCACCATCTCCCCAACACTTGTTATTCTGTCTTTGTCACTGTAGCCACCGAATGGGTGAGACGTGGTATTTCATTGTGTTTCATTTTCATTTTCCTGGTGGCTAATGAGGTCAAGCATCTTTTCAGGTGCTTAATGGCCATCTGCATGTCTTGTTTGAAGAAATGTCTATTCGAATCCTTTGTGTTTTAACTGAGTTCTTTTTATTGTTGAGTTGTAAAAGTCCTTTATATACTCTGGATACTAGCCCTTTATTATTAGGTATATATTTTGCTCATACCAAAATGGGGGAGCATGTAGACAGTATACCAACAGGAACTCGCATATCTGCTGCTAGGAGCCTAAAATAGCACAACTACACGGGAAAGCAATTTGGCAATATTTAGTAAAATCATAGATGTGTACACCCTACAAACAGCAGCTCCCATCCTAGGTGTTTATCTCAAGGAAATGGCTATACTTGGAAAATACCAACAAGGGTGAACCTCGGGGGGCGGTGGGGGGAACATGAATGAAACATAGTAACCTAGTTATAAGTGAAAAAAGTCACAGAAAAATATTCACATAGCCTGATGCCATTTATATAAAGTTCAAAAATATGCAAAAGTAAACAATGTTTGGGGGAAGGGAGATATATAAAGTCACATTATCAAGAAAAGCAAAGAAACAGAATTCAGTATGGTGGTTACTTCTGAGAGGAAGGTAGAGAGCCTAATCAGGAAGGGGCACACAGGTTTCAATAGTATGAGTAACGTTCTATTTTTTGAGATTTATATATGCAAATTACACATTTTTATATGTGTGACATACACATTTTTTTCAAAGTACTATACTGACATCTGAAGATCTTTCTAATATACACCCTGAAGAAGTTCCATTCCAACATACTTAATGCAGATAAGGAGCATCACAGTGAACCAAAAACTACATGTAAACAATATTACCAACTATTTTTAATCCAACCAAGTGAATGCCTTGTAGAACTAAGAAATGGATTCCCTTTCCTTTTCTGCTTCTTCCCACTTTTCTGTAAGCCTGTCTTCCTGACCCCACCCTTTACCACCATGACCTGCATTAAATACCACTTTCTCCAGGAAATTCAGCCATCTTGGGCACTTCTCCTCTCAATTTTCATAGCATTTCAACGTCCTCATCATATTATCCTTGAATTGCTCATGATTTAAGTTCTCTATGAGATAAGCACCTGATGAACTACACACTGACACATCAGCTGGTTCATACAAGGCACTCAGTTTTTGGTTGACTATTGAATGAAAAATGAATTAGAAAATTCAGGCATTTCAGAGTGAGTTATGAAACTGGTTAAAAAAACAAACAAAAAAAAACCTCAAAAAATGAGGAATTTAAAATTACATTCCTTGAAAAATAATTTCAACACTGCAACTTCAAAATATAGCAAAGACAAGATTGACAAGTCACTTAAAATATAAAGTGTTTACAGTGCATATACTGATCATTTTCCATATTCACAGGGGGCCAAATCAAAAGGCATAAGAACTTCCTGCAAGATTATTTACCATCAGAACAGTCCGCTGCTTTAGAAAATGTCTTCAAGTCAATTACGTAACTGGAGAACAAGTAGGGTTATAAAATATCTTTTATAAAAAAAATAGTACATGCCACTTCAAGATGCAAATTTGTTACTTTCAGACATTTTTGCAACCTTTCTTTTCCTTCCAGATATTTAAATTGTTTAGCACCAGAAGTATAAATCTAAACATTATGTAATTATAACAGAAAAGGAACTGCTGTACACAGGGGTGGGAGAAGAGAGAGAGACCACAAGTAAAACAGCTATTCCTCAAGAAATAGACACTACCACTATTAACAGATATGGAGACTTGACTAGTTGAATCAATTCACCACTGTCTGTGCATCTATAATTTCTTCCTGGAGCTAATTTAAAGGAGTCAAAAACGTTGGAGCTACAGTTGTCAGATTTAGCAAATAAAAAGGCCCAGGTAAACTTCAATTTCAGATAATGTATGTTCTTAGTAAAGCATGCTCTATGCAATATTTATACCAAGAACTTATTTACTGTTTATCTGAAATTCAAACTTCACTGGGAGTCCTGTATTTTACCTGGCAACCTTAACTGAAGCCAAAAGGTGGAACAGTAATCAATCCAAGTTCCTCACTTTGTAGCAGAAACTGAGACCAAAGGAAGGAAAGTGACTTGCCAAAACCTAAATCAAAGATCAAGGAAGTGAGTTTGCTTGGAAAAGAGAAAACATACTTCACTAGTTCACCTTGGGTTCCACTCATAGTCCATTCAACCTCCAATTCTAGCTCACCTTACAGGAGCACCAAGTGAACAAGCTGTAAAAGGGTATGGTTTTCCTCTTTCAATATCTAACTTCAAGTTTCAGTAAGTCTGTTACCAACTCTAATATTCAAAACCAACTAATTAGAAAACTATGTATTTCTCTTAATGTAAAAAAAAAAAAATCCTACTGATAATTTTTTGCCTAAACACCACCACCTCATGTTCTGTTTACATACATGAAACAGGACCTCCGTTTTTCCTAAAGCCAGTCAGTCCTCTCAAACCCCCAAATTCTCTTGCCCCAGGGTTTCAAATTTTGGAAATATTCATATTATTCCATGACTCTAACGATGTTAGTTCAGACTCTCCCAACTTTCACATTTTTCAGTGGAAATGTCCTAATTAATCCATTCAGTTGGTCTCAAATAAAGTCTTCCACTTCCCGTCTGTGCCTAAACTAAACCAGCAATGAGGCATGAGGCCTCAGGATTATAAGCATACACTTACTTCCCCTGGGACTGGGGTGCAAGAAAAAATGTAAAGAGAAAGTCTTTATTGGAAACTTTGGGGACTTTTTCCAGTATATATGGGAAATATCCTAATTGTCTAACTGCATGACATACAGTCGAACAAATACGCCCAGGATTCATCTTCTGAATCCCATCAAATTAACAAAAACACAAAACCTTTCCTCAATTCTACAACAGCTTTTCAACCTGTGGTCTCCAGGGTTCCTTAGGGATTACAGGAAGGGGAGGAGACAGTGAGGTAGATAAAGGTTTCTCTTTTTTTTTTACAAATGGGACTTCCAATTAAGGTTTTAAGAAAGGAGGTTAAGTTGCATTAAAAAACAAAAGCAGGAAAAAAACAGTAACATAAACCATTATGACTTCCTAAATTTTCTATGAAAAACTTCACCGAGGTGATCAAGAATCCACATATTGTCAGATAAAAGATTTAAGGACGAACAAAAACTTAGCAATGAAAATACAATTATCTACCTATGCTTTTCCTCTGGCAGCTTCCAATGTATGCAGGTCTCTCGAGATCATACAGGACAGAAGTGGAAGGTCCTGGTCCAGACTTTCATTTTACAGATGTGGAAATTCTGGCCAAGAGCGAAGGCTGACTTGCCCAAGGTCTCAGGATCCGTTTAGGGGCACGACTTCAACTGGGATTCCCCGCTGGCAGCCCACCCGGATCCCCAGCGCCCGACAGATCCGGCGGCCCCCGGGTCGGCCTGGCCCCCAACGCAGCCTCGAGCGCGGGGGCGGTAGGCCCACGGCCCGAGGTTGCTACCGCCTTTCGGCCGGCTGGGAGCAGGGACCCCGGCCCACGACGGCGCAGAACCCGGGCCTGGCGGCCGCCACCGCCCAACCCACCTGTCGCGGACCTCACAGCGGGCAGCCACACCCCCTGCCGGGGCCAGGGGCTCCGCCGGCCTCGTCCGCGGCCGATGATAGCGGCTGAGCGTGGCGGGAGGTCCAGCGGTCGAGAGGCCACGGGAGTTACCTCAGGTGGGCGCTGAGCTCGCGACCAGGCTGCCCGGGGCCGCCTGCAGCATGCCGGAGACGCGGACGAAGCAGGGCCGCATCAAGCGCTGCGGGCCTGTTTACACAGTTCTGCTAGAGGACGCCGACGGGCTCGTCACGTGACGCGCGCGTCACGTGCTCACCCGGGCTGGGAGAAGGCGTTGCCCAGCGACGACGGCGCGTTGGGGGCTGGCGGAGGTGGCGGCCGCGGTGCGCTGTTTCTGCGGTCGCACCTTTTCGGGTGCGGAGGCGAGACCCTAGAGCCATGCTCATCCCTGACCAGGAAGGGGGAAGGCGGCCGCCACCCGGCTTGGTCCTTAGTGACTCCTGGTTCAGAGCGCATAGTGTTTTGGCAGAAGGGTGAATTTGTTCCAGCTGTATGTTATTGAACTTCGAGAAAAAAATGGAAAATTCATGACGTATTTTTTCTTGCAAAAAATGCGTCATGACTTTTCCGACAACCCAATATTTACCCAAAGCTGGCAAATGAAGGGAGAGCAAGGTAATAAACAGTAATAGTTTTCTTTGCCTTAACGAACACTTTTGTTTGCTTTCGCTCCCTAATCTGGAGTGAATAGCTATGTCCACAGTTTACCTCCCCAACCCATCAGTGGAAAGGGTGTGAGGAGGGCTTATGGAACTTCCAACTTTTATTTTAAATTATATTTTATAATAATTTTTGTGCGAATTAGACTTTGTGTACATACAAATATATCTTAAGTACAAATATATCTTAAGTAAGTATTTGATTTAGCATTCAGATTTTGTCCGTATCAAACTTTGTAATTTTATTTTTAGTGACCATTTTTATTTCTACCAAGTCCAGTTTTCCTGGATCAAACTGCAGAACTTTCAGCCACTGCCAATTTCTCCCATAATAGTCATTATAAATTGCATACAATACTAATAATTTGTATTATTTCTTAGTATATTCATGAGTGAATTGTGAGCAAATACCCTCAAATATTCCAGAATTTTTTCTGTTATCCAGGAGTGATCTGTTGGAGAATCAAGTTTCTCCATACAGTTCTGATCACTTTTCATACTCCGCTGTCTATAAGAGCAAATTGACAGGGTCAAAACAGTGGGCTGAAAATATCCTTTAAATCAATACAACGAGGTTAAACATCCTCTTCATTTCTATAACACGCCTAGAATGTAACATTACGTAGCGAACAAAATACAGTGATGAATTTTCTCCACGCTCATCTTTTACTACAGAGAATAGGCTATAAGGCCAGTTGCCACAGCCTGGTTGACTTTTTCTGTGCATTAGGCAGCAGATAATCCATGAAGGCAGGAACAATATCTTCCATTGGTATATCTTATGCCTAAATCATGCCTGCAAAGCAGAAAAGTTGATCTGTGATGTAGAATCCTGCCATCCTTCTGTAGGAAATGGCAAAGAACCTTCACAGATCCAAAAGGATCTGTGAGTTAGGCAGAACTGGTGGAGGCAATGCTAGGGGGAGTCCTGGCTCAGCCATTACTATCTAGGCAATTTACCTAAACTTTCTGAGCCTCTTTCTTCATTTATCTAAAAGAAAGATAATATCGACTGAATAGTTGTGAAGATGAAATAATATTGGCACAACACTATAAAGTGCCGAACATACACCGTGCTCAATAAATGTTAAATATATATGGCCTTTGGCAAGAGGGTAGTAGTATATAGGCAGTCAGAGTCCAGAGGGAAAGGGAGCTGACAACTGGAATGTGTCCAAGTCCTGGATCTGGATTCTTGCCACCTGGATTGGAGTTGAGGATAGGGTTAATAATACCAGCAAGGGAACTAAATACAACTGAGAAGTCTTTGCACTTAGAATGGAAGGCTGGCAGGAAGGGAACTGCTTTTAGGTGACCAGGTGTTCACTTCAAGGGGAATACTGGCCTTGTGGCAGCAGGTTAATTCCAAATTCTGTTTGTGGTGACGGGGCCACCTAATGTACTACCTTTCCATTGCTTCAGCCCCCATAGGGAAATTACCTGCCCTCTCCTAGAATTTGTGGGAAAGAAAGAAGTGAGGCCTGAGCCAAGTGACCAGTGTTACCCCAAGAGCCAGACAAAACTGTCCACCAAATGGTTAAACATATCTAGCCGTTTTTCATTTTTTAGTTAGAGTTTCACTACAAACAAACAAGAAAATGCACTGTTACGTATGATAAGATATACTGCAAAGTCTGTGACTCTCTCTATAATGGCATTTCATCTAACCCAGTGTTCCACTAAAATGATGAATGTAAGGAGTAATGCATGACCTACAAAGAAAGAAATAAGTGAACAATAGCCTACAAGGTGCTACAAAGCTACAATATGGTAGAGTCAATCTTGAATTTATGTTTCTTGATTCCAAGTCTAAGTGCCTTTTTCTTTTTCATAATATCTATCTATATCTTGATTTGTGCCTTACTGTGTTACACTGCTGACAATTTTCTTTCATATAATGTTTGGTATATTTGAAAAGTAGAGCCAACACAATTTGCAGATTGATTGGAGGTGGATGTGAAAGAACAGAGGGAAGGATGACTAAGATTTTTGGCCTGAACCAAAAGAATGGAATTGTCATTCAGATGGAGAAAAAGGGATGTTTGTAGTTTAGTGGGGGGAAATCAAGAATTTGATTTTAGACATGCTAAATTTTACATGTCTATTAGACATCCAAATGAAGATGTACCATTAGCAACTGGATAGAAGATACTGGAATTCTAAGGAAAGAGAGAGAGATATATAGTAGATTGGTCAGTGGTGTTTAAAGCCACAGAATTGAATGAGATCACACAGAGCAGTAACTTTCATACCTTCTGACTTCAACACAAGATACAAAATACATTTTGAATACTGACCAAATACATGTACATAACTTTAAAATTTCAAGAAGCAAATTGACTCTCCCTGTACGCAATGCATTATTTCCTTTCTCTCCTACTTAATCTGTTCCATTTTTTAAAAACTTCTTCTAAATCAATTGATCTTTTAACCAAGTAACGGTTGTGACCTACAATTTGAAAATCACTGAAAGTTGCTGACCTAGGACATTAATTGCATAATTGCAGAAAAAAAATCCAAAGGCTAGTCATGTGGCACTTTAGAGATAAGAAGACTACCGAAGGAAACTTACTAGAGGCAGCCAGAGAGGTAAGAGGAGAAACAAAACAGAGAAATCCTAAAGGGAGAAGGCAGTGTCTAAGTGTGTCATTTGCTACTGAGAGGTTGAGTAAAATGAGAACTGACCTTTCGATTTGGCAGTGTAGAGATTGTTGAGAGTTTGAGAACAGAGTAATTAGATAAACTGGTGGGGATACAACTGTGATTATAGAGATAAATGGTGACAGCAAATAGGTACATTACTTTTTGCTGTAAAGAGGAGAAGGGGAATGGGACAACAGCAAGCAGAAGATTGGGGGTTAGGTTTTCTGTTAAAAATTTATAGGCTAATAGAGCTGGTCCAGTAATGAGAAAATATTGGCAAAATAGAGACTGGCAACTGTAGGAAGGAAATCTTGAGTAGGCTGGAGGGATCGTCCATAGATAAGTGAATGAGGGAGTGGGCAGGCACCGATACAATGTTAGATTTGTTATGTTACTGCAGGCAAAAAGAATAGGGCCTGGAGAGAGAGGGAAGACAAAAGGAAGGAGGAAGTAAGGGGAGATGAAGGAGAGAAGATGAGATCATTCTTAAGAAAAGGTGCACCTACCGGACTGGCCAGAACTCAATTTTGATTTCGGTGGCCGAGAACAGACCCAGGACGCCATCTTGCCCCTCAAGGTGAACTTTAGTTATTTGTAATGGATTATAATACTATTAGCATTGCAGGCAGGGAAAAATCTCCACCCCCATGTAGCCATGACAGTTCTGACAAGGGCTAAATTAAGGACAAGGGAATCCCACCTCCCAACAAGAAGGTCAGTGAGGACAGCCTGGGAACACCTATAACACCCCTAGATCTTGAATAATTCCACGCCCTAGTTCTAATAAAATCCTAAACTTCGTTGTTCTTTGAGGGCTGCAGCTCTTCTTCTCTCCTAACCTGCCCAATCCCATTATTTGGGGAGTGGACTATCTTCTTTTCCCTTTTTAAATTTATTTTTTATTGTGAAATACACATTTTTTAGAATTAATTTTAGCTGTACAACACAGTGCAATAGTTATACTTTTTACCCCTCGA